GCTCGCGATGTTGCTGGTGTCGGGATTGCGCTAAGTGTCAAGGCTGAACGCTCGCTTCTCGACTGGATTCCAGTCCGTAGCCGACTGTGTGCCGTACGTCTGAACGGTTCAACGCGGGTCAACAGCTGCAGGCCCTGATGGTCTTCCTCCGGCACTTCTGAAATTTGGAGCAGCTTCCTTAACCAATATGATGACATCTGTCGTCAATGATCCCCTATCTTCCCAGCCGTTTCCTCATTCTTGACGTCCAGTGACCATTATTCCGATCCCCAAATCTACGTCCTCAACTGTTCTTGCGAAACGGTTTCGTCCTATCGCGTTGACCTCAGCGGCTCTAAAGGTAACTGAAAAAGCCATCCTGANTCCCCATGACTCTGTTTGCATATAAACCAAACAGATCTACATTGGACGCCGTGTCCACTCTAGTGCATTTTATCAGCAAGTCATTGAACCATTCGGTCAAGTCTGTCCGTTGTTTTTCTTGACCATTCGTCTGCGTTGGATTCTGTTTCCCAATCATCCCTTCTTTTCAAACTTGAATCTTTTGGCACTCCAAAACAGCTGCTCTCATGGCTTGCCGACTATTTCACACAGTGGATCCAGTGCACCAAATTAGGAAGGAAGGCATCAAAATCTCTTGTTAATAATTTTGGTGTTCTTCAAGGAGCTGTTCTATCGCCATATCTTTTTTCTGCCTTTATTAGTGATCTTTCGGTCCCACTCCCTGCGCACATCTAAAAGTATGCTGATGATGTAGTTTTTGTCTCAGACAATTTGATCTCCCGCGGACTTTCATTCTTTTACTGAAAACCTATCTCACATCCAACAGTTCTCTGACCAATCTGGTCTCAGTCTTAATAAATCTAAGTGCGTAGAGTGTATTTTCAGTCTTTCCCGCTCCTCATTTCAACGGACACTGCTATTCCAACGATAAACCTGTATCTAGAATGACCTCAGTGAAGTAACTGGGTGTCACCATCGACAGCAATCTTCGTTGGTCTACACATATTTACAGCTGCGTGGGAAAACTGAGACGCCTATCTTTTCAGGTACGCAAATGCAGGCAATTTCGAACCCCAAATTCAGTCCTGTCATCTTTCGTTCATCAATGCGTTTCACCCATTCTACTTTATTGCTCTCCTGTAGTGTTTCCCGGTCTTTTAAAACACGACTTCAAAACACTTCGCCGTGGTTTGGTAATAATCAGTCGTACGTCACTAATCCCAACTGATTTATTAATCACAGATCCCATTGATGGTCACATCGACTCTTGTTTCAAATTTTCTCACAAGATTCTAGATGACCCTCTTGATCCACTACACCCAGATCTTTCGTCTTGTCGTTCCCATCCGTCCACACGCTCCTCGTTTCGACAGCTACCCTCTCGCATTAACATTTGCAAAAATTCCCCTGTACCCTACCTGGCCCGACTACTTATCAAAAAGGAGCAGGTATCAAATGAACTACGTCAAATGCTTTGTACATGAAACGTATATCACCGACATTCTTTACCTTTGGTTTTATTATTTTTATTTCATTCTGCGCGACCAACAATGTACATTTTTAACTAAAATGTAAGCATATATGCTTACACAAGTTACAAATACAATACAATACAATAGAACGAAGCGTCGATGCCTATTCGTCGAGTCGGTGTATGCACCAACCGATTGCAGTACACCTGAAATCAAGGATGAATTATACAAGGACCTTTCTCGATTACTCCAATGCGTCTGATCAACAGACATCGTGGTAATCACCGGAGACTTCGATGCTTAACTGGGATCCCTGGACGGATCAGAAAGACTTCTTGGTGGACCAGATGCAATCCCAGCCAACCGGGCGGACAACAGCGATCGCCTACTTCAACTCTGAGCCGACCAGGGATTGTTCCTGTAAAGCACGAACTTCTCGCACAAGAAACGACACCGCCTTACATGGAAACCGCTCTTACTGGTCAACAGCTGTGGATGCAGACCACGCCATGTTACGAGCCAAATTCTCCTTACGCCTGGCAAACAACCGTTAAAGAGTCACCGACAACGGATACCCACGATACAACGTCAGCGATTGTTGCAAATCAGCCTTCGAAGCGGAACTCTCCGATAGTCTGTTAGTTCAACCACCAACCGAAGGACTCAATGAACACTGGAAGCAAATAAAGCAAGCTATGCAGATAGCAATAAAAACAACGCCAGACCCTTGCGCAGACTCAAAACATACACGATGGATCTCATCGACCTCTGCGGGACGCCCACAGGACCCTTCCTCCTGTTACCGCATATGACACAGCGCATAAATC